CTCTCTCATCAGGGAGGATTCTTTGCTTTAGACAGTTTTTTTCCAGCCAAAAGTCATAAAGGACAGGGTCTCACCCAGTTCCATCCACATTGCTCAAAAGTTGCTCGTTAGTGCTTATTTTCTTCGGTTGTCAGCAGCTTCTGCCTGGCCATATGAATGTAGCCAGTCTTCCCCCGCCGGTTTGGAGGGCTTCCTCAGATCAAACAGAAGGGTCGCCACCCCTCCGCGATCAAGGATCCCTTCTTTCTCCATTGCCTCTCCTAGGCAACTTTTGACCCTTTTTAGGGTCCCCAGCTGGGCGAAATCGTATATGGAATATAGAGCCCCATCTTCCTGCATCCATCACGCTGTGACATCTAACCGGAAGCCCTCAAAATTTATTTTTGATATAGAAAAAGTATTGGATTATCCACTAGCCATATAAGAGCCGAGGTGGCGCAGCAGTTAGAGTGCAGTACTGCAGGCCACTTTAGCTGACTGTGTTCAGCAGGTCAGCGGTTCAAATCTCACCGGCTCAAGGTTGACTCAGCCTTCCATCCTTCCGGGGTAGGTAAAATGAGGACCCAGATTGTTGGGGGCAATGTGTATGTATGTATGTATGTATGTATGTATGTATGTATGTATATATATATATATATATATATATATATATATATATATATATATATATATATATATATATACACACATACATACATACATACACACACACACATACACATTGCTTACTGGTATACACCGCTTAGAGAGTGCTTGCACTTAAAGCAGTATATAAGTCTCATAAATAAATAAATAAATAGCTACATTTTATAAAGATAGACAAGAAAGACAAAACAAGCTTCCTTTTTGATCAGTTGAAACTAGACTCCAACCCTCTCTAATGCCATTACTTGGAGTAGGCGGCTTTCAGAGATGGTAATTATTACATGGCAATGTGCTTTATAACGTGCTGCCTTTGAGGCCTCTTGACAAATTCAACTGGTGCAATATACTGCAGGCCAACTGAGCTTTATTGTAGTCATACAGCACCAGTTTTATGAGCTCTATGTTGGCTCTGATGGGTTTTCCAGGTACAGTTCCAATGCTTATAAAACTCCAGATGGATTGATTTCTAAATATCTTCAGGACTATCTCTTTGCACACCCCTTTCAGGAGGGAAGCTTAAATCCACGCTAGATGTTCAGATATTAGCAAAATGAAATCCGGACGTGGTTTCTGTTACTGCCTCTTCATTTTGAAATAGCCTCTCTTCAGTAAATGGCGGATACCCTGATGGTCTTTAGAAAGGTCTTGGAAATTGTATTGAATGACATTTCTTTTTATTTATTAAATTTATTTGCTGCCCATTTCACTTCAAAATGAAATTTGGTAATTGTTGTCAAATTTTAAAATGGATGCTGAGGAGTGTCAACAACATGTTACTTCACTGTTTTTATTAATTCATGTATGTTCTATTTTTGTTTCATTGTCCAACAACCAAAAGGCATACTGGAATTATAGCAATATAAAGAAACTATTAGACTAGAATCTTGTCCAATCTAAACTAACGAGGTGCACCTTAATCTAGCCATTCTCAGATTAGAGCTAGCAAGAGAACTGAGTATTCAATGGTAGCCATTTACTCTTTGTCCTACTTAATTGTATAAAGGGCGTTAGTGACCTTTCAAACACGTGCTTACCTATTCTTTTTCAAACTCGGTATATAATTGCTTAACCCAGACAAAAAAAGATACAAGGCAATTTAAAATATATGAAAGGAATAAGAATTGATGTGCCCCTGTAACAGAACTGAACTGCATAGGCATTGGTTTAGCCTGGTATAATTTAATGCACATTCTACAAAGGAACCCGTCACATATATAAAACAAGTAATGTGGTCTTCTGAAGAATCATTTTCTTCAGTTTCTCTGGACCTTTAATATATTGTACTGAACATATTATGACACTTATTAGTCCCACAAGTTTCATTGAAATTCTACTCTGGAAGATAGACTTTTCCTTGTTGCACGCGAATAGCCCTGCAAGATCCCAATATGCTCATGTCAGGAATTAGAAATAGTTACATTATAATATCACTTCTACTGACCAAGCAAAAGGGGAAAACTCTCAGGTATCCTTGCCCAACATTTCTCAAATTTGGAATAGACTAGACATAGTCACGTTTAAAATTCAACTAGATGGTTTTCCCCCCATTAGCATAATCAGTTCTTACCTCCATTTCTCTAAGATACTTATAGATATCCTCAATATAATCTGGAACATGGTTTACATTAATTTTCTGTTCTGCTTCTATTGACATATCCATAATACTCAGTGACCCTAAAATGAAAGGTATAGGTAAAATGTTTAGGCTTATGAAGCCTCAAATATAAAGCAAGCAATGTACTACAAAAAACTTAAGTTCTTTCAAACCCAAAGTTGCTCTTGATTGCAGTGTATGTATGCCATGATCTCAGTATTTTAAGAAGCAATATAAATCCATAATAGACATTTCCCATTGTAACTAGTCTTAAGACTTTCAGTGGTCAAAAGCCATATGAGTGATATCCACAGATAAACCGCTAAAAAGATTCTTCATGGTAAAATAGAATGAGTATTCACCAATCTTGATGTAAGCTTCAATGCACTTTCTGCAGGCTCAAACTACAGTTCACATAATGCAAGATCCTGTATTCACCTCCTTGCTTTAAATTCAGGAAATAGCAAGGGAGTGGGATGAATCCTACTTGAATGGCCATGAGCTTCAACTAAGCTTCCAGACCTTTTGGACATCACAGGAAGTAGGCTGAAATTTAAAATGGCCCCAAGTAATAAAAATATTAGTGTTATGAAAATAAGGAATAAGTTCACGAAGGAACAGATGGTATCAGAGCAACAAAGTACAGGAAACACTTATTTTACTTCATAATTTCATTTAGTAACAGACTGGATAGAAGGAACCCTCCTCACATGAACATGCACCGTGACAAAAATGGTACTATTAAAAGTACTTTTGAAACACTTTTCTACCTCTCTAAAGTACATTAGCAAAGTCTGCAATATTAACAGAATCCAGATTACTTTAAGGTTTATACTGAAGGTAGAATGCAACTGACACATTCAGTCTTAAATTAAAAACCAGTGACAAAAAACCATTGAGGTTTAAAGCAAAACTTGAAATCAAAATATACTTTTGAAGCTGCATTATATGTAGAGTATACAACTATTATATCACAAGTAATAGAAGCCAGGAAGTTCTTGGTTTTTCAGTGAGATGATCTTGTGAAAAATAGCTTTTCACTGAAAGAAATATGTACAATTGCCATAGTTGAAATTGATTAAATCTGAATTTTATAATACCATAAACAAAAAGAAGCTGCAAAAACAAGTGTTATATTTAGCAGAGGCTTTAAGCGTAATCAGAATCAATCACTACAATATATATTTTTTAAAATAGGATATTACCCTCACCAGAACTAAGATCCATTGGATTATCTATAGGAGTAAGAGGTTTTCTGGTTCCCATTGAAGCAACAACTGCCTTCAAACCTATGGTCTCTTCACAGGATGAGATCTTTTTGCTGGACATATGTTTCTTTTGTCTCCTGTTATCAGGCTCATCCAAGTGGATAGTAAAAGCTGGCTGTTTGTTTCCCATTTTACCATTGGGGACACCAAGATAATTCTCATCATTTGTACTCCAAGGTATTTGACTAAGGGAAGCCTGTAAAAAGAAGAAACACAACAATCAGTCACCTAGTACTTCACTCTCCCAAATGATGTTTTTGCCCATACATTAGGAGGTAATCTTTCAAAGCAAAGATAGCACATTGCAATACAATGTGGTCCGTGTTATAAAATACAACTGAAATCACTCATTCTAAGTGAAGATAATGGGAACAGGCAACACCAGGTGAGCAAAAGTGGCTGAACAGAATACTAAGCCAAAACCAAGTTGTCTTGGCATGTTGCAGGAAATGGATCAAATTTCTTTGCAGCCCTTTAGGCAGCCAGTCAGTGTTCTGCTGATTACTATTAAACACATTGCTCAACAGTTCTGCGTTGAATAATCTATGATCCATTTTCAGCTATCCATAAAAATGGATGGCATCAAAGCTATCTCAAGCTTCAGAAGAAATCATAAATGTATGACATGGCTTGTTTGGCGGTGGCCTAGCATGTAGCCTGAGTATTCAGAGTTTTTGTGAGGGACAGGGATCAGAACATTCATTGTTACAATCATAGACTTTCGACACAGATATTCTCATCCAACGTGAGTCCGAAGGGCTTTCCAACGGCCTTTCAGTGCGACTATCCGCATAGTTTGCTAAGGGAAAAGTGCTTTATCCAACAGCAACAGTGGCCCAAGCGTTTGTCCACCTGGATCAAACAGAAACGGTAGGGCCTTCTGCCGTCCAGCGAGCAGCCTAACTTTGTCTCTACGTGCCTGCGGAAGGCGACTCGGTAGCCAGGCCAACACGCAGAAAACATCTTCCCTCCGCTTTCAAAAAGGCCATGAAGCGTAAGAGGACCACGCTGGCTGCTCATGCCCCTTGCCACAGCAACTCAGGAAGAGAATAGGAGAGCTTCAAGATGGCGGGTAAGGGAGGTGGGGTGTCTCTCGACTTCGGCCAGGGAGACGGGCATCCCGTCCAAGCCGGCTGAGAAGGACAAAACGCCTTACCTGTGCTTGGGTGGAGCGGCGTTGATTAGCTTGCAGAAGCCCCAAGGCCAGTCGGTGTCCAGGAGCACCCGCAACCTTGGGAACCTCTTTTGCCCCCGGCGGCACATTTTCCTGGTTCTCCAAGTCCACTGAGGTGCCCGTCAGCATGATGCTGTGCTGACAGTGGGACCTGCAAACTGAGCTGGAGGAAGAAAAAAAAAACACCCGCTCGCTGACGCTGCGGCCCGCTCTGCTCTCGCCGTTCAAGTAGCCCGCGACTATTGAATCCACCAATGGAAAGGCGACTCTTGTACGTCACTGCAACGTCACTGTTGATCGCGAGAGTAAAAAAAAGGAGGGGCGGGAAAGAGAGGGCGCGGGAGAGATCACGTGGCTCTTGGGTTTTGTGATGCTCTGTGCTTGTTATTCTTGGGTTAAAAAAAAAAGTCCAGTCTCAAAAAGTCGCGAGCCGTAAGACTTGCCACTTCGTGCGCATAATAGGTTGAGGCGGAGGCTCCAGAGTTCAACAGCTCTGTTCCTCTATTCGACGCGGCTAGACTAGACCAAACGGAACTGGGGCGTGTCAGGTATTGTTTTCCTATTCAGCTCCTTTTGCCACGATAGACACGTTTTGGGGTAACAATATGTAAGCGGCTTGGCATTACTTTCTGAATGTCTTTTTCACCTTTCGAGTCTAATTTGTGGCCATACTGACGTTATTTAGCTTTATCCACGTGTAGGCAAAGCGTGGTTTATTCAACCCTGTTCGTTGGATTGGCACAACGGAGAGATTACTCCGTCAAATCCATTTTCTCTTATGGTGTTGTCTTATGGCTGTGTCCTTGGTATATAATATCGTTTATATTGAATAACGTTTTTGTCTTATTCCCTGGGCTACTGGAAGTCCCATTTATTACGGATAGGAACACTGTAAGAATGTTAATAAAATTATTTTTCTTTGTCCAGTATTGTTAAATTAAAAAGCAGCCAGTACAGTCAGAATTACCATATTACTCTGATTTTCTGCATCAACATTGAAAACCAGATATTTAACAAGCTAAGCAATATAGTCCTTCAATCACGAAAATCTTTTTTTTTTTAACCATGAGTGTAGTGGCTGGGGCTTAGTGGAATTTCTCCCATGCACAATAAAATAATTATTACCTGCCAAGATGATTCAGCCTTCATTGGAAATGATTTTTTATCACATCATAGTATGGTATAAAAAAGTCCGAACTTGTATTTTTGGGCTTATCTAAATGTGGCTTATCCAAATTTCATTTGTGCCTAAGTTAATCCTTAGCAGCTTCAGCAAAAATGCTTTTTATCTATTATAATTTGGGCTGAAGGAAAAGTTGTAAGAGTTTTTCCCAATGGCTAAAGTATACCTGTACTCTGTGCGGGGCTCTGCCTCTCTGAGGCCAAGGGCATGTCAATAGTGATCACACATGCCAGATTCTACAATCTCTCACCAAAATCCCTTCCAAGAAGTTTGGTTTTTAACAATAAATTGCAACCTTTGAAAGTAATTCAGAGGTAATACATTTTATGAGGAATGGGAACAGAACAACTACGTTGTGTTACTTTATGCACTAAAAGTAAAGAATCTTGATATTAATAAATATGCAATTGTCTCCTCAAGCCTCATGATGGCAACTGGCAGTTTAGAATTCTTTCCCTCTCTGTCTCCCTCCCTCCCTCCCTCCCTCCCACGTGGTATCACAGAACACAACACAACAATTCAGTAGAAATAAAAAGACTGTAATATATATAAACTATGTAAATGAAACACAAGTTTTCTTCATTTGCATCTTGATATCTTCTCCTTAAAGACAATTTCATTGCTTTTTCAGTTCTTGTAGTTCAGGTAGCACTATCAAAAAATGCAAGTAATGTATTTTGATCATAGCTTCCTAAAATTTCCAGAAGCAGAGGAACTTTGGTTTTCACATTTGTACCTTTGAACTTAAATTTGTCTATGAACAAATCAGTAATCATACCTGAAAAATAAAATATACAAAACATTAACTGATCAAAATCAGAAAACTATTTTATGTACTACTGCAAATGTTTAATAAAGCACAAAATCCATGGGAGGTCATTTTATGAATGATCTATAAAATATAGGTCATGTGGAATAATCTGAATGAAATATAGCTATAGTTTAGAAATCTTAATAAACAGAATATAGAACCAAAGAAATCAATGGTAGGTTTTTGATTACTGTGCAGTCAGTTTTCATGTATATTTATTTTAAATATATAACTAGCTCATTACATATGTATTTTCTACTTGCAGTATTCAATATGGCCAAAGACAGTAGGAAGACCTGTTCCAAGCAAAGAAATAAACAATGATCCCTAGCGTCTGGAATATTTCAAATATTTATTTGTATTAAATTATATTTACATATACTTTTTCTATTAAAAATAAAGCACTTCTATATATATTATCCACTACTTAACTATTTCCATCCTTGTCTTTTATATAAATAATTTGCATTGTGTGTTTAAGGGCTAAAATGTCTTTCATCAAAAGGAAACAAATATTTGACAAGAATGACACATTTGTTTTCCCAGAATTGCTAGAACAAGAATAGTAGAAAAAGGTTAATGAACTAACCATAAAGTCTTTCAAGAGATGTTGGCTGTTTCTTGTGTTCTTTGAGTAGCTGATCTGACTCTTCCAAAATATTGCGGTATTCCGGAATCAGGAAATCCATGTTACCTTCATGAGCCTGCAATTCCTTAATCAGATAATAATAAATTGTTAACACAATAAAAAAAATTCAAGTAAAATATACAATAGTTGGAAGATTATATGAATCCAGTTAAGAATCCAGGTAAATGGATTGTTTAATCAAGTCACAATTTTCTACTAAGACTATAACCTGAAGGTTCCCCTATTTTTTAAAAGTTAAAACTCAAAAAAGACATGCAAGCTGTTATGCAGTATTTTCAGAGACTACACTGTGGGTGTGCTACAGCCTGTTAGCAATTTCTTATAACAGCTGCAACCAGTATCTGTAATCTGCTCTTTATAGCTGCATAATCCCAGGAAAACACGTTTGAAAAAAAGTTTTGTTTTTTCAGCTACATAAATTAAAAACACCTTATTGTTTACAGGTGTTTGATTCACATATAAATTTATTTCATATAAACTTAAATTATATAGTTTGCAAGGCTTGCATTACAAACACAGCATTCTGTATATTTATATGTTTAAGATACTTCTAATCTTCCCAATAACCAAAATACTTCAGAAGATTACAGGTAAACAAATAGAAGAGCCATAAAATAGATTTAATAATGTAAGAAGGAGATGAATGGTTAAAATATTATGATGTATTTATAATCAAACAATTGCAAATACTTTTATATTTGTAATTCATTATTCTTTGCTAATAATTATCTTTTGCTAGTTACTAGTCAGAATGCAACTAGTAATATTTGAAACTGGCATATATTAATTCAGACTGTTTGCCCACTGACCACAATATTGTCTGTTCTGTTTTGAAGCAGTTCTCCAGGTAAAGATGATTCCTTCTATAATTTTAATTGCAAGGACAAGTTGGAATGTTCTATATATAAAAGCACACATTCTATTACTTATTGTCACTGCATTACTGAATTCTAATTTTTTTAATTCTCAAATATCATGACTAATTGCATATTAATAGTTTTTCTAGGAATACCTATCATGAAACAAACTGATGGTGGAACTGAACAGATCCATTTGATATTCCAGTTTAATGAATAATCACACTATACTTTATCAACAATAATGTTTAGTCTATTATCTGATTATCACTTTTATAAGTTGTCCAAAGCTGCTGGATGGTATGTAAATCTATTAAATGGAGAAATCCTATAGTTTTGAAAACAATTAATAAACATTTAATACAACAAAAAAGATTACACAACAAATAAGCAAAACTATCAACTAACATTAAAGACTTACTTTTAAAGCATCTATTAGTTCAACTTTTTTAGCCAACATCAACTGGTACTCTAATTTTGGATGGATAAGGTTTAATGTATGATTCACAGATGCTTCATTCATATCTAAAGACCCAACAAGAAAAAAAATTCAATAGCTATATATTTTATATACAGAATGAAATCATAAAATGTAAGGGAATCTTACCACATGATATATTGAGGTTAATTTTCCTTTTAGTGGCTTCTTTAGAGAGTACATCCTTGAGAATGGATATTGTGGATATATTGTCAGATTTGAAATAACCCTCACCTTTCCTAAATAAACAACATAACACCCATTTAAAATAAAGAATCTTGGGAAATTATTGTAATTCTAAACAGCACAACTAATACTTTAAAGTATTTTTATGAGTTGGCTAACGTTTATTAAGTAGTTTGGTCCCTAATGTAAATGTTTCCCAATTGAGAAGTTTTAGATGAATTTCAAAATGATTCTAATCATTATAACTCTTCAAACAAGTTTGATTAAACATCAGTTTTTATTAACTCATTTGTTTAGAACTGAAGCATATAAAAGAAGAACTATGGAGAAAATCCATTATCTGTTAAATAAAAAGGAAAAGTTGTAGATATTTTTAAATTGAATTTTCAATATTATCCTTTCTAAGATGTATTTTATATATGTGACTACACCACTAGATACACATCAAGGCTATTGATATTGTGTGCAGGTAGTCCTCGACTTACAACAATTCATTTAGTGACCATTTAAAGCTACAATGGCACTGAAAAAAGTGACTTATGACCATTTTTCACACTTAAGACCACTGCAGCTTCCTCTTGGGTCACATGAACAAAATTCAGATGCTTGACGACTGATTCATATTTATGACAGTTGCAGTGTGCTAGGATCATGTGCTCACCTTTTGTTACCTTCAGATAAGCAAAATCACTGGGGAAACAAGATTTATTTACTATTGAATGGGATCACTAATGGATGATGACATAAAATTAGATCAGTGTACCATGCACAGATACCCTCTGGGTGAAGAAAAATTGAGGTTTTACTAGTCAGGATAAATTTTAAGTGAACCCTCGGTTAATACTTTACGAAATTTAGTAGCAGCTACATTTTATGGTGGGGCTCTTCTTTTAGCAGAGTGGTTACGATTACCAATTAAAGAATAGTTGGAATGGTTGGAACTGTTTTTAGGTTATACAGAAACTGGCTACATTCCATCTGTTTTGAAAGCAGAACCAGAAGTAAGCAGAGGGAAAGAACTATAGACCTGTTTATCTACAACAGTTGAATTCCTCCTGCTTTATTATGTCACTGGAAAAATACATATTTAAAACAAAATGTCTATCTGCCAGTTAGGCTAAAAAAGTTAATATGGTTCACAAAAAGGTGCTCTTGTATGCTGAATTTTTGTGATTGATCCTGAAAACTCATAAATTAGCACGTTATTTTTTTTATAAAAGGTTGTTTGCTTCAATAGTTGTTTCATTTTACCGGTAAGTACATTCAAGCTGAGTATCCAAAAAAGTGTTCTGAAAGTAGAAGCTGACATTCTCCCCCACTGGTGTCTTTTCAGGAACTTCAGGCAAACAAAATACAATCCAGGAATGTACTTCAGCAAAACTGAACTGTCCTTTGAGAGTCAGTGTATTCATGGGTCTGGATAACAAGAAAATAAAAAATAAAGAATAAAAATAAAATATAAAATAAAAATAAGATTAACTTCTTTAAAATCATTAAAAGAAAGTCTGCTTCATTCACAAGGACACAGATGTAAGAAGTCATTCAAGTCATTGCCTCAGAAAATTGTTTTCAGTGCCAGAATGAGATTAAGAATGGTGCCTTGTAATTTTCATAATTTGGAGGCTAAGCACATTTATGCAGAATAAATTAAAATCAATAAAAGTTTTTTTAGTAAAGATTTGAAATTATAACATCTTTCAAAAGTCTTCACTTCAATACCTTTATTCAAACTAATTTGCAATTTAGATTCAATGTGCGACAACTCTAGAATAATACCTATCATGGTCAAGGCAACGTGTCCTCTGATGAAGTGAAAGAGGCTTAATCTGATACTGCCGAACTTGACAAGTTTTAGGTTGAACTCTTGGAATGACATATGCTTGCAGAGTTCCATAGCGACCTTCAATTGATAGAATCTGTTCAAGGAACATAAGAGTATAAATCAGCAGCTCTCAACCTTTTCTATACCCCGCACCCATAGAATGCTTCTGATATATTCTTGCACCCCTTCGAAAAATTTGAAATAACGGCAACAAATTATACATATACACTATAATTTTGAAAATCCAAGTTTTTGTACCCTTTGGAATATTGTCTGGCACCCCCAGAGAGTGTGAGCTCCCCTAGTTGGGAACTCCAGGTATAAATGTATCTGAATTTAGATTAATATCCAAAATTTCTAGTTCTTTATAAAAAAAATCAATCTAAAATAGCTTAGAATATTCATATGTCTTGTTATTTGGTGATATTCATTATATTTTAAAGCTTGTAACCATGGATAGCAATTCAGCTACCAGCTACAGTACTATTCTGTCTATTTAGAAATCTCATTGAACTCACTGGAAATTACATTAATCCTAATATAAGATTTCACTAAACACTGCTTAAACACTGCCATATATAGAGTGTTTCAACTGCTATATTAAATTAATATGTGTAAAATTTCTTGAATATTCTTTATATAATGTTATATTGTGACTATTTGATAAAAAATGCCAGAGACTATACTGATACATAGATATAGATATACTATGATCACCCTACAGTATTAGATTGACAAAGTGCATGCATATCATGTTATACTATTTGCAAAGATGTTTAGAATTTATATTTTTACTAAAAAAGTGAAAAAAATATCTTTAAATACAATTATAATGCACCTTAAATTTTTCTTACTCATTATATTCTATCACTGCCAAAGAAAATATACTACTTTATGAATTTGTAAATTTATGGAGTTCTATTCCAATAATTTTAAACTCTGCCTATTATTTAAAACATTTTGTCTTTAAATGAAATAATTATGTCATTCTACTTTAACTAGGTTTCATCTAATTCGTTACTGACTATATATTGAAACTGGTATCAACACAACTGCCTTCTTAAAAAAGACTTCATTTAGATATACAAAAAGAACTTCTAAGAACTATTGAATTAACGTAGCCTGTAGTAAGCCAATAAGCCTTCACAAAGAACTAGTTATTTGAAAATTGGAAGATGACAAGTAATTCCATTTGAATAAAATAGGGAGGGTTAATTAATTTTCAAAGGTCAACTTACAGATCATTTTTATGCATAGCATCTATTTATGCCACATTAATGTTGCATATTTGAAAATTAGTACGTAAGTTCAAGAATTGGATATATAAATTCTAAAACAAAAATATCTATATTTTTCAGGACTACTGCTGCTCTGTTCTGAATATGCTTTAAAATTTGCAGTTTTGTAATAGAGTCAATTATCTTGTATAAATCA